GATCGCGTATACCGCACGATTTCGTTAGGAAGAAAATCAAGAGTGAATTGAATGATCGAGCGTCTAAATGTTAAATTAGGTTAGGTTAAATTTCACAAATATTTTGACATAATTCGTAATTTTACACGAGAATATATATATATATCGTGATAAGATAAACGTAATGGAAGAGAGAATGTACAAGTGTGGAACATGCAAATATTGAATTTACTTGTCTTCTGCACAATCAAAATCGCATCTCGTCGAATCACGTCACACTCTAACTTCGACAGTTTTGTCGCGAACAACTGGGGCACACTTGCGCCACCATGCAGATGCGAAACAGCAATCATAAAAACAGTGTTGGAGCAAGAGAAAGGATGAAAGATGCGAAGAAGTGGGGTTAGACGAAGGAAAAAAACTTGCGAAGGTGAGAATAAGGAAAAAGGGGAAGCGTTATTACGCGACTCGTGTGATTTACATACGTTACATATTCACGACCGTTTCACGTAACTTGTTCGTAATCTTTTATTTTACATGACAGTGTTTTGTGAATGAAAAAAAATAAGGAAGACAAAGTCAGACGTAAATATAACCTGAATTATGCAAAATGTCTTTGAAAATAAGAGGAAAATAAAGTGAAACATATATCGAATTATGATATTCTCTGCCTACATATAATACTTTAGACAATTATATATGATCTTGAATGAGTTTAAACTATTGATCAATGAACTCGTCTGTTTACCTTCAATTTTTAAAATTTTTTTTTTATTTTAAAAATGTTTGTTTCTCTAAAAATTAAGAAAATTTATATATAAATGGACAAAAAAAATGAAAAACGAGAAAGCTTATAAAGAAAAGTTAAAGGGAGCAATTTTCTCAGGGACACTCTATAGATTGCATTCATCGTTGCCCTTCTGAATGTTTCATTTACAGATGGATCGTTTATTATTTCACCGAACGATGGCGGTGCAGGGACGGGTATGCCGCGATGACATATGGAATATTTAAAAATCCGCGACGCACGCCCGCTGGGAGGAATAATTTTTCAGAATTTTCGAGCTCGACCCCGTTCCCTGAAAATAAATGACATGGAGACCCTCGGTTCCTCACCTAGTTTCACTCTTGGGACGTCCGTCGATTCCTTGTGTCGATTTCCAGAAGAATATCGACATATTTGGAAAGATATAGCTTCAGATTTTCATGTTTCATTCGCGCAACTGTCTTATTTTACGTGTGACAAAATTTGAAATACATTTGGATCTTGTTGAGACCCTTGCATTTCTTATGCATGAGATAATCATATAGATACGATCTACACATCTATATATATATATATGAAATAACCATTAATAATTTTAAAATAATAAATACGAATAATTAATTGAGAGGCATCAAACGAGGCTTATCCGCTATATATTACTTACAAAGTCGAATTATTTCAACGTTCACAGTAAACCTCTCAAAGAACAAACATTTTATGACAAGAAAGCCGCAAGGGTCCCTTCAAACAACCCTGTACATAATACTCCCCTTCTTATATTTTCAAGCACCTCGTTCCACCCTCGATCGCATAGCTAATCGATTCGTTAATTACCTCCCCGGTGACACGGATAAAAAACAAAATCAAAGCGACCGTCAACGAGCCCTAACACAGCCCCTACCACTCCTCCTCTTTCCGCATTGTTACGAGCGTCCATCACAAGAGTCTCCTCCACTCGACAGATGAAATTACGACCAGTTTATTATTTTTCTCTTCTCTAAATGATTAGCATCCACAAACCATCCATGATCTCCTCTGGATAGGTATGATGGGCGTAAGACAAGTATCACCTACGTGACGTGTTTGAGAGGTCTGAGAGGTTAATCGACCGAGAATAACTTAAAAAAGAAAAAAAGGGGGAGAAAAAATATATGCACGACAAAGCAGAAAATAAAAAAAAAAAAAAAAACGAGTAAAAAGCACCATCACTGGAATAATGAACCAACGAAACCACGATGCTCGCGATGATCCAAAGACAGCCGAGTTGTGAGAGCAATGCGTTCCAAGATTGTTTGACTTACTTCAACTAGCGCAGGTATTATACGCAAGAAGACCGCGAGTGGCGTGAGTGTCGCTCGTTCCGATCCCCATCCACGTCTGTTTACAGTGCGTGCGGACGAGGGGATTTTAGAGCAAGTTCGTGGCCACGACTTCCTTTGCGGTGCCAACTATAAAGAGAAGCCGCTCTGCGGGGAGAAGTCAGCATGCGATAAGCGAACGGCAGACAGACAAGGGAGGGGCGATAAAGGGCGGCCCGTTCCAGAGAAGGATAGTCGTATGCTGTTCGCCGATTCGGTTTCTGTCGTTGCTGCTGTTGTCCCCGAGAATCTAACCACCGGCTGCGCCGCATCTGGTGTCGCGGAGTTCGTCTATCCACTTGCTATCACTTCACTTGCGTGGCCACGAGAGGGGCAGCCTGCCGTTATTGCAAATTCGACAAAACTGGCGGTCCAATAAAATCGGTTAGCGAATTTGCCAAGAATTTGCTGAAACTCTGATGATTTATTGTCCATGTGGAGCTCAGTTATCGCATAATCGGAAAAAAGTAGCAGCAACGGTTTGAGTTTCAAGAATTTTAAGTGTATATTGAAGTTTAAATGATTTAGTTATTTATTCGGATACAATTGAATTTGTATCGATATTTTATATATACATTTTGATGAGAAAATATCTCTATATCGTAAAAAAACAGATTATATTTCAAAACAAAATTTCTCCGTTGTCACCTGATGCCAACCATGCGCCGTATGGCAAGTCTGAAAAAATGGCAGCAGTAACGTGGCTGCGTAATCGCCGTGGATCGGGTTGAACAATAGCAACGAGGAGGTCGAGCGGACCATTTAATCGCGAGACACGATACCACTGCTTGACACCTCGTAAAAACTTTAATCAAACTTAATGATGGCATTAATTTCGCGCTGGAGCTCTCGCAACCTAGCTAGTGTCACGGTTTATCACTTTTCGACGTGAGAACTGGCCACGCCGGTGGCTGTTGCGCGCGCACGCTTCGAATTATTACAAGCAGTGCGTTCAACGGGCTCATAATGAGAATTTTCACCGCGTGACGACAAACACGGTCGCTTAATACGATCGAAATCGAATTAACCGCGAATGTGTATCAGGACCCAGTTACGGTTCAAGACTAATTTGCTTAACGATATCATTGAAGTTATTTATATATTTTATTCTATATAATTTGTAAATGACAAAATGTTCTTTTATGGAGAGATTCGTGTATGATAGAGATGCAAGTGCTCATTATTGATTATTACTTAACAATATCGATTATATAATTGATATTAACAGTAACATCTTTACATTATTGTGAATATAGTTTTTTCTCTTTGCTATTACCTGCTCGATTGAAATTGGATACGCAGAGGTTATGTTGATCTGGATCTTATGTCTTTGTCTTACAAAGATGTCTACACAGAGATGCAACAGGCATGTGCAAATGTATCGTAACACGAATGAAAGAAATGTGTTCATTTAAATTAATATGTTTGAATATTATTCCCTGAAGTGTGGCACAAGAAATGCGTTGATATTAGCAGAATTGTAGCTCGAATGATATTACTATGCGCGATGCTATAACGTTTCATTTAGGATTATCATTATTTTGAACAATTGTAATGCATGGGATGTGAAAATGGGATGAGGGGAACAAATGGGTTTGTACTGAAGTTTGTTGGTCTCGAAGGAAATCACTTACATTCTTATGTTAGAATGCTTGCAAAATTTCGTTTACTCTTGTAAGTATACTCTGCGCAAATATATAATTAGGAAAGCTCAAATTATAAAGTTTGTACTTCTATGAAACTTTATTTTTCAGATAATGAGATAAAATATATATATATATATATATTTTAAAATAAAACGTAATGAAATGAAATTACTCATAATAAAACTTTACGATTATTGTAAGTACGCCATTTGTGTTTAATCGTTTATGTAAAATTTAAATATAGATTCAATGGTTTATGGTACATTTAACATTCCGAGTGTCAGTCCAATTGTCAATGATACATTTGCACACGTACTTAATGTATTTAACGTACGTTATTATTTAACTGAAAATATGATCTTGTTTTTTGCAAATGAATCAATTAAATAACGTTTTTTAACTTAATTGCAGTGAAATTTTCACTCTTATTTCTTACATGCAAGTACATAATCGAAAGTGCTACTATTACTTTGCTTGATATTCTTCAAATTTTAATATTTTTAATATTTCAAATATGAAAGAAAAAAGTTTAATACAAAATAAAAAAAAAGAGAAAAAGAAATTCAAATCTCTCGATCTTCATCTCTCTCTCTCCAAAGATTTTTTATCCCTTCATCGAACAGGGAACATTATCATCGACACGCGACATTAAACGATCCAGACGAAACACGAGGTGAAAACATCCCAGTAGTGCGTCATCGATTTCACGGAATGCGCTCGAAAAATCGCGGCAGCCGTCGCTCGCCCGATCATTTTAAACGACATAATTGCTCGGCGAGCGAGCGGAGCGAGTCGCGTCGTTTTCACGGTCCATCTTCCACGGTGAATCCCCTATGGCGTGCTGCACGTCATAAAGATCCGTTTGCGAGCATAGAGACAGAGGGAAAGGGGGAGGGAAAAGGAACTCGAGCGTCGAGAGGAGCGCCGCTCGCGCGGTGAAAGAACGAAACAGGGGCGAGGCCATATTGAAAGGGAACGCGATACAAGCGCGCACGAGGAGGGGTGTTTATTAAATCTGCCGGTTAAAAGGAATTAATTCCGTATCGGCATTCGTCCGCAAAAATTCGAAGGGCCGATAAGCGGCGCAACTTGTGCTCCACGGGGGCACAGGGGGAGGGGGAGGGAGAGGGCTCATTGTCAGAAATGAGAAACTCTCTATCTTTGTCTTTTTTACGTTCGTTCATACCGACGTGTATATATATCTGGTATGTCTCTCTGCTTTTCTTTTTTTTTTTTTTTTTTTTTTTTTAGACGCGATCAAAAGGAGACGGAGAGAGATGGGGATTTATGGGAGCTCGATACGACGCCGGAGGTTATTGATCGGTTGATTTATTGGACAAGTCGAGTGTCGCCTCTTCCTGTTTTTTTCAACTTGTTCCTGTCTCGCTCGGTGAAGAAATTTTGATGAATCGAAAATGATATCTATTTTTTCCTTTCGACAGACGGTACTTCTTTTTTTTTTTTCAGAAATTTTTAGAATTTAAATTTAAGTGAAATCCTTGGAAAATTATTTTCTAAATTTCGCGTAAAGAATATTAGGTTTATTTTTTGAGAAATGGCTGTACGTTTAAATTATCGAGGGGCAAATATCGTGGCAATCATACCCTGTATTTATTTGCGCATATGTAACATTTTAGATGTAATACAGTCGTAATATACGAAACGAAAAGGATCACGTGCACACTCGAATTGATCGTAATCGCGAATTCGGAATCGGTTCACGGAACTGATTTATCAAATGGCAATAGACAGCGATTATCCCTCGTCTTCTCGCATGGTGTTCCATCGATGTACAAAATTCGTTTGACACGCAACGAATTTCAAACAATCTTTAATGACACGTCTCAAAGGGTGTACTCCCTTCGCGAAAACAGACAATTTCACTGGTACCCGCTCATTAAGTGTCACGTATCGCCTTCGACACGAACGAAACGGACTAGTTTTCACACGACACGCGCATTTTGGCGCCACCTTGTCCACGCATTTGAGAGGTTAACGAAAATAAAACGGTGTCTTGAAGTTTCATGGATAACACGAATGCAATGGTAGTGTGTGATCGATGTTTCGTATTGTTGGAAAATATTTGAAACACGTTTGATGGTCCGGAAACAACGAATGCAACGAATGAAAAATATTAATGCGCATTGCTCGCGTGCAGCGTGAATGAGGTTAGGTGTGGCTATCACGAAATAGATTTGCAAAAGGTCTAATGCATATAAATGAACGCGCAATTGAAATTATTTTTTCCTATCTAATTGTGAAACGTGTAATCAGTATTTAAGAACACATTCCATAAAAACGAACAACACTATACTTTTAATACCAGTTGGAAAATTAAAAAAAAAAGAAAGAAAAAATATCAAGTATTCTTTTCCACTCCTTTCGCGCACTCACTTTGCACGCCAAACTTCCATAAAACAGAAAAAATAATATTCTACGCACGAGAAGAGCACCATCTCGACATAACCTCACAAAGTTTGTGGCACAAAAAGCAAATAGACACGTTCACCTCAGAGCCCGGAGCAAATAAAAAAAAAAAAAGCGGCGCCTTACTTTCACTTTTCTCCCCCGTAAAAAGCGGCCGTATTTACCCGCGTTACACCAAGAAACTCCGCGTATTAAAGTTCGCTTTCCTTTTTTTCCGAAGCAGCGCCTCGTACGATCTCAGCGCCACCCATCGTCTTTGCTTCGCGCAGATTGCGGCCACGAATGAAATTTCCGCGGGTTCGTTACATTTCCACGGCAAGACGACGCGGAGATTTCGCGAGAGAGAAAGAGAGAGAATCCTTCTGGTGGCGCGTTATTACGCGAGATCGTGCAACAAAGTCGCTGCAAGAACATCAAAGAGGGGTCGGTCCTCGTCATAAAGCGTTCGCCGATTCCGTTTGTCCGTCGCATCAAAAATGAATGGCACCGCCGCGAAACGGAATACAATATAGTCGTGGCACGCGAAATATCCTTGTTTCCCCGCCGGAAATCGAAATTACTCTTCCTCCTCCTCCTTCTTCACCTCCTCTTCGCTCCCCCACCTCGTTCCATCTCGCTCACGACCGCTTCGACAAAGCTTCTTCTCGCCGAAATAAAGACGGCTCGTTGTTGTTGTTGAACGCGTATTAAATAATTTTCTATTAAAGCTAACATCGACACGACGAAGCGTCGTTTCGAGTCAAATTGGAACAATTGGCAAAGTTCAAGTCATTTGAAGACTTTCCTCTTTACCTTTAATTTACTTCATTTTTAGAACAATAATTTTGTTTTTTTTTTTATTTTTTCGAAAAAAGAATTATCAAAGGCATTCAATTTTGATTATTCGACAACACTTTGAGGAAAATCAAGATTCTGACAATAGGTGTTTGTGCATTTCGTTGAAAGCGTTTCCTCTCCGTGGAAAAAAAATTATTTCTCGCTTTACGATGAAGGTCAAGCGGAAGTCTTTTGAAAACGAAGAACATCCGGGTCAAGGATTGACCATATCCACCGACGCATTGCCCCATATATGCATGCGTTTTAGAGAAAAGTCACTGGAGTTTAAAATATCGCGTTTTAGATCTCGTGGCAACACGTGTTTTTACAGTTGTAATCGTAGAAGAGAACTTTGAAACCGGGAGAAAGGAAATGCTTTCTTTGACTCGGGTAAAAATTATGAGATGGCAAAATGAAACTTCCTTTCGACTTAACGCCTGTGACGTCTTAGCTTAAATTTAACTTAATCTCTTAGCTTAAATATTACAACTATTTTAAACGTCAAGAGTAGATTTTACTGTAACAAGAAAAAAGATATTTAAATATGAATAAGATATAAATATGAATTTATATTCACGTAAAGCAATAGCCACCATAACCTCTCATTTTTATTAAAATATTCTCCTCCTTCCAATCTTGTCCTTCAATGCACTTTCACAATTCATTAAAATAAAAAAAAATGTAGCGATGCACGAGGAGAACAAGAAAAATCTAAAACGAACAAGAAAGAGAGAGAGAGAGAGAGAGAGAAGGATCGAGCAAAAGTCAAAGGGTAACCAAACGTTAGACACGCAATAGAAATGCGACAGTAGAGAAAGTAAGGGACAGTGGGATCAAAGACTGTCGAAGCGTCGAACATGAGCGCTGCCATCGAGAAGAAAAGGTGGGGATTGGCAGGTGGGGGCGTGAAAGGGGAAACACGAGTAGGAACAGTGGACGCAGAAAGCGAGGGCAGATACCTAACACGGGCTATTTCGTGGCTCTTTCTACCGGCTCCCTTTTATTTTCTACGCCCACGTTTGCCACTCATGCTCGACTATCTTGCAGAACTGTCGGCACACGTGGAATACATCCATTCATTTGGCTTTGTACCTCGATGGTAATGTTATTGCATCGTTACTGAAGGTCTTTAACTCTCTTTCTCGAGTGCCCTTCTGATTTCACTAATCTTCCATCATTTGCTCCTCGTTGAACATTTTAAATATGAACAGATTAGATTCTAACTTTTTTTTTAATGATAATTTAATTTTATATTTACGATATTACGATCATTGAATTTCATTTTTTGTTCAACGACTATCATAAATCATATTAGTCTTTGAACGTTTTTTTTTTTTTACCACTCCACACAATATACTGTCCTATGCAAAAACATATCCATTACATCCGACTCCGCCACATTATTCACCTCACCGCACTAAAACATTCCCGACTTTTTTCACGAGCCATCACCCCACTCGCGATATTTACATCGCGAGTTCCAACATTACGAAGCGAATAATTTGCTCGTGGCGCGATCCGATACCGACACTCATTATTCCATCGTTGTATCCAATATTCCTCCATTCAAATCGTCGTCCTCGCTCTTTGCTCGTTTTGCCCTCCCTCTCTTTCTCCCTCTCTCTCATTCATTCATTCTTACTCGTTCTATCTCTCGTACACATGAACACGAGTAAACACACAGACTTAAGGAAGATTTTCTTTTCGTTCTCCCTAGAAAGTGGTATCCAATTCTGCGCGATAATTGGCACTCCCTATTGAATTTCCCCGCTTCCTATCAAACGGCATCGAGGAACGATATTCTTTTGCAACGTCGAGGACGACCTCTGGGAAACGAAGGACACACCGTCGCGATTTCCCGCGTTAAATTCACCGAACGCTACTTTGCAATTCAATGAAAGGGAATTCAATCCGTAAGAAGAGAGGGCGGGTGCCGCGTCTTCTTGTCTCCTCTTGCTCTCCACCATCCGTCGGACGGATTCCTCGACGAAAGGCCGTGCACGCGCGACTGGGAATCGAAATTTCGCCAGAAGAATTGACACCGCGAACGATGCGTAGAGTTATATTGACCAGATGGAGCTACCTTGTCGTTGTTACCGACGGAGACTTTTTTTTAGAGTTAGAGTCACGTTGATTTATGGTTATGGGTCTCTTTGTATCTTTGAACATTTAACCAGATATTGCTATTTAAAGAAAAACCTTTTTGATTGTAAAAAAAAATGTAAAAATGCAAATATGTAGTTAAATTTATGACATGCATCTAATCATCTTTGTAGAATAGAACAAAATTTCAGCGAAAATTAATAATCAATTATGAGTGTGTTCAATACACGCGTATGAATTTGAAAAACACGTGGTCGAACGAAAATAATTATTTTTCTAATCGTGTTCAATCTATTACTTAACGTACACGAAAGTCTATAAATCTATTTCTCGGTCTTATTCGAGCTAATAATTTCTGATTAGCCAAGATGTGTCGTGATTGGTTATTCTTGAGCCACGCGATCGAAGGAAACTGTGTTTGCCGACTATACTTTCACGAACATAGAAGCATATACATATATATTCGTTCTCGTCAAAATCTTACTTGAAATCTTTCAAAAATCTTGAAAATCTTAATAATCAGTTTACTTTAACTTTTTTAGAAGCTAATAACAAATAATAACAAATATTTAACGTATTAAATTAAAACTTTCTGATTAAATAAAAAATTCATATTTATTTCAATCTCAATATTAATAATACTGATTAAACGAAACAAAAAATAAAAAATCCAATTTACGAATTTCAATTTTATCGTAAAAGGGGGGAAAAAAGATACTCGTCGAAGGCAACAAAAAAAAAAAAGGTTCGAACGAATTGAACAGTGAAAGTATACGAGAAAGACAGAGAGAGTCATACAAGGGTGCGAGAGGCGGCGGATGTTTTATTGACGACGGAGATGTGATGGATCGTTGCGATATTATTGCATTGCAACGCAGTTCAGCCAATCGAATACGTGTGTAGGTTGCAGGGTGCAAGGTGCAGCCATCCCTATAAGCTGCGTCATATATTATGGGATGGGATGATTCGATCTGTTCGCTTTATAAGTCTCTTTTTCTTCGCTTCTTTTTTCTCTTTTTCCTTCATTCGTACATATATGTATTACATACATACAAAAAAAAAAAAAAAGAAAACGAAAGAGGAATTATTTATTTAA